TTTTGTTGTATATATTCGATAGACTAATCTGCAGTCACATGTCACACTTTCTTCAATCTATTATCTACAACAACAACAACTTTATAAATTACTCCTCCCTTCACCAAAAAATCATCACAATTGTTAGGTCGTGCAGTGCGAACTCCCGCAAAAGAAAGGAGAAGGGTGATGTGGCACTCAGAAGGGAAGGACAACACCGTCCCCCCTCCTCATGCAGGAACTAGTATAATGCTCGTGTAATGGTTTATAATTAAACAAAATGTCACTGTAATTCTTTTATAAAACTGACATTTTGTGTCAATGTGAATCGTTAAAATGCTGGTGTATCTCGTTGGAGTACAATTTAGAGTACATTTTTTGGTGTACCCTGTAATTGTATTTAATTTGTTTTTTATCAATTAACTTATATGAAGAGGTTCATCCATTATTACTCTTCCCGTCCTAAAATTTTTTCCGCAGTACATTACAATTCACACACTCAGACTATAATTATTTTCTTTATCAATTTTCATATATCATTTGATAAAATAATACAGTCATGTCATTTCTTGTTTTATACAGAGTATAACTTTTGTTTTAGTTTTTAAATATGTAAAATTTATTGTTAAAATTCTGGCGGGCCGATAACAACGGATAAAGTGTCGGGTAAAATTAATTAACCACTTGCACATAAAGTCGGGATCCACAATTCTAACCCAAAAGCTTAAGCTGATAGGTAGGGCTTCATCGTTCTATACATGCTAGTGATACTCATCTTTATTTTCCGATGTGGGAACTCCAACACTCCCCCGCAAGTGGTAACTAGCCTGGCCTAGTTAACACTTGGACAAACGGGTCTAGCATCTCAATCTCTTATAGCTAGCCACACAACGGGCGGTGGCATCTCAATCTCTTTTTAGCCAACTCAGCCCAAACCACAGACGGGGTAGCTCATTTTTGCTAAACCCACATCCAAGCAACCAGGAACAATCAAACCCGGACCGGACCTGCTCTGATACCATGTTAAAATTCCGGCGGGCCGATAACAACGGATAAAGTGTCGGGTAAAATTAATTAATCACTTGCACATAAAGTCGGGATCCACAATTCTAACCCAAAAGCTTAACCTGATAGGTAGGGCTTCACCGTTCTATATATGCTAGTGATACTCATCTTTATTTTCCGATGTGAGAACTCCAACATTTATTTTTAAACTTTATATGTATAACTAAATAAATTAATTTGAAAATAACTTCAATTAAACATAAAAAACCAAAACAGGATTGGATATGTTTAAGGGTGTAGTGCACATTTCGATAAACCAATCAAATCAAAGTGTAACCGATATTTTGGTGTTTACCTAAACTGAACCAGTTATTTTTGTTCAGTATGTAGTTCTTCATTTCTCAAAAGTTTAGTTTCTTATTGACCTATTAATGATAAACAGTTTTTAACTTATAAGCTGTTTATAAATCAGATATTCTTTCGTGAATTTAAAATGACTTAAATGATAGATAAATTGTTTGTAATTATTCATAAATGGTGATTAACAATTTTATAGATAATCTAGTTAAATCAGAGAAACAAAAAAAACTAGCTTAAAAAATGTAGTTAAAACTTGTTTATTTTTCGTGACTTAGAACTTACCTAATAGGAATAACAATTTGAGAAGTGGGGTAGATGAACGTTGTTCATGAAGCTTCACTTTATGTTGGCCTTTAATGGTTCCAGTGCGCGGTGGGTCATCTGATATCTGTAGTTCTTTATTTATGGGGACACGAAAAGAAAGAAATAAAGATCCTGAAGACTAGACTTCAGCGAGCACCTGGTAAGACGAACGCCGAAAGAGAGATTTGGTTTGTAGCGCCGGTAATTTTGACTAGGGGTGGGAATGGATCCGGATATTTCCGAAAAAAACCAAGAATACCGAACCGATGAAGTACCGAAAAGAAACCGAACTGGCGAACCGAACGGTCGGTCAGGTATTTGAGAACGGTACGAGGTTACTTCCTATACCGAAATTCCCGAACCGAACATATATATATACTAATATATTATAAAAGAAGGCGGCGTTTTCAGGCGGGTCGGAGCATTTTCCGGCCACCTCCGGCAAAATTGACGCCGCTCATCCCCTTTAATGTGTTTGTGGCATCTCGGCGACCCCCAAGGACCCCTCAATTGCAAGATTTGATGACGATTTGCAAAATCCCCCAATTTCGGATTTTAGGGTTTTTTCGAGTGGAAAAATTTAAATTCGAGGAGTTGCAAGCCAAATTGGACAAAATGGTTTGGATATTCTTGATCCTCATCTCAAGACGAAGAGAATGGCGTTGGTCCCGCCGGAATCTGATCAGGTTGATTTTCCGGCGACTTTGACGTAGTGTGACGGCGGCGGGGTGCGGAAGAAAAGAAAAAAAGAAATGGGGTCAAATTGAAAATTTTGAAATATATAAAATTCTAATTTGGCCCAAATGACCAGAAGTTAACCTAGAAACGGACAAATGGACTTTTAGTGAACGGATTTTGTAAGTTTAGGGATTTTTGTGAAAGGATTTGAAGTTTAGGTACCACTTCGAAATTCCAGCTAAAGTTGAGGTATCATTGGTGAAATTTACCCCTGTTCTTTACCTCGTCACTTTTTTTGAACCGTCATAGTAGCAAGCATAGTTTTAAGTTGGAGGTCTCTACTATAAATATGGATATTACTCCTCATAATTAAGGAGAAAGAAAATACCAAAACCCTAGTCTCTCTTGGCCTGTGGCGTGTGGTTTTGCCGCACGATTTCTCTCTCTCTCTCTCCTTCGCCCCTCTCTTCTTGGAGTTCGGAGACACCATTGTGTAGAATTATGAAGTAAATAAATTAGTTCCATTGTGTAGAATAATTTATTGTTCAATTATTATCAGATTATCGATTACTGAAAAAAATAATTAGTTTCACTCTAAAAAACACTTAAATTTGGTATTATTTATAAAAAAGTTTAAAATACATTTAAGTTTTAATTTAGAAATTAAAAAATGAAAAAAAAAGAAAATTTTCCTAAGATAATCCCGCCTTATTTGTGAAAAATATGTATTTTTCAAAAATTTCGTTAAATGACTGTTAGCTTTTTAACGGTGACCCAATCTCGCACACATGCGGAAAGATGAGATTATTTCCGATAACAGTGAAAAGTGAGATTATTCTGGAAAGAACGAGAAAATGTGAGATTATTTGAAATAATTTTTCCATCATAATATTATATTTATTAATACATCTATTATTCTAATACTTTTGACAATATTTAAAATCATATTATGATAATATGAGCTACGGTCCTCCGGTCAAAAACTTGATTGTTCATATCTCCCTCCCTTAACACCCTCTCAAAAATGCCGAGATGTTACGATAAAATTGTAGCATTTCAGTAATTTAAGGAGGCACACAGGGTGCTGGGGTGGAGGATAGGTGGGTAGGGGAGGTTTAATTTAAAGATGAAGAACCATTAATAATTTGATCAAAATACCGTGGTCTTTGTTGTCATAATATGACATTATTGAGTGTTGTTAAAAGAAAGGGGTTATTTAGTTTTATATATATATTAACTTTACAATGAAAATGTAAACTAGAATAGTGAGATTTAAATAATAAAAAATTAATCATAATTCAATGTAGTGGTCTAGCCCCCCTCCCCCCCATATACTTTCAAGTGATCTAGGGTAATGGCCCGATGCGAGTGCACTGCCATGTGGCAGTGCTCCACCCATAAAACATAGTCTAATGGGCTGTTTGGAAACTTCTGAATGGGTAAGTGCTGAACCAGTAAGAGGTCTGAACCATTAAGTGCTGAACTAGTAAGATGTTTGAACCATTAAGAGCTAGTATATTGCTTAACTATTCAGAGGCAAATGTCTGATCAATTCAGATAAGAGGTCTTAAGCATTCAGACTCTGTATAATACTTAACCATTCAGAGACAAATCTCTTAACCATTCAAACATCTGAACCATTAAGAGGCTGAAACAAACAGTCTGAACCATTAAGTGCTGAACCATTCAGACATCTGAACCATTAAGAGGCTGAAACAAACAGCCCCCTAAGGCTTGTTCTCTTTGTCTAATCTGATTGGATCTGACTTAATTACATTAAGACATGTTCTGATTTGGGTTGATCTAATGCTAGTTACTACCTCCGTCCCGCTTTGTTTGTCCACTTTTGACTTTTGGAACTGTTCATCTAAGTACTTTGACTCATCAAATTCTCTCAATGTGTAAGTCTAAATATAGTCATGTGTGATCTTGTTTGATTTGTCTTAACATATAGATTATTAATATATAATTTCTATAATTTTTTAATATACAAATTACAAGATAAAATGGATTAAAGAAGTGCATTGGATGGTGTGTAAAAATGAAAGTGGACAAATACTATAGGACGGAGGGAGTATATTTAAATTTGCTTATGATCTAATGTGGTTTAATCTCTATAAATTATCTTCTCGTTCACAATTTACAAAGTCAAACTTTATTTACTTTGTTTATTTATTTTTGTCACTAATTCATAATACTTCTAGTTTTGTAAATCTTTGAATATTTTAAATGCTTTGTATATACGTAGTAATTTTGAAAGAAAATATAATGAACAAAAATAAGTTGAAGACAACATAATATAAAGTGGGCCATTGAGAGTTGAGATCACGGTATAATGTGAGGAAAATGCACTCAACCTTAGCGTGGGCTTTCAAAAAAGTAAGGACTCGTTTGGTGAGTTTAGGAGATATGATATGTTATGAGTTTTGAAATCTGATAAAATTGATATGGATTTTAAAAACTGAAATGAAGTTGTTTTGTAAGATTTAAAATTATGATTTAATAAGTGATATTTGGAGGCAACCGGCAACGGAGATGACTAGCGGTGACAATCGTAGCCGGTCGTAAGGAACGACCAATGATAAAAGGAGATATTCCGTATAAAACTTTGATATTCATGTCATTCGAATTTGAGAAATATCGAAATTCTATATTTTAATAAATTGTGATATTAGAGTTCTATCTTTTTTTTTCTAACCAAACGCACCCTAAATCGGATCGAATTACACGAATTCATCGTCGTCCTCAATCTCAAACTGTCAGTGCATTCGGAATCGGGAGGAGTTCTCAAGATGTTGAGGCTGAAGAGACTAACCTCAGCTTCTGTATTTCTCAGTTCAAGAAGCTCGTTAGCACGCCAAGACAATCTGTTGCGCCCCCTCATCTCTCAACACAACCCGTATCAATGGTCTTCCCTTCGCTTCATTGACATTTACCAGGTCCGTTAACCTAATCTGGTTCCTGAAAGCATGCTTGGATTGGATCTTATCTGAATCTTCTTGTAGGTTTCTGTTTCGAAGTTTTTTTCATGTAAATCTTGAAAGCTGAAACCCCAGTATGATTTGCAGCTTGGTAACAAGGCTGCGATTGAGAAAGAACGCGCGAGGCTGTAAGTTTTTTGGAGTTTCTGTACTGAATTCTTTCTAAGTGATAATGAATCGCAAATTGTGTTCTAATTGTATGGGTATGTGACTCTTTTTTTTGGGGTTAGGGCAGTTCAGATGAACTGAGCAGGGGATATTTTGCTGACATGTCTGAAATGAAGGAACATGGTGGTAAGGTATGATTCTTTTGTGTGTGCAGATAACCTGTCGATTTCTCTCAGGCTTCGTTTGGTACATGGAATTGGAATTGAAATCCTCCAATTCCAATTCATATTTTTCGCTACCAATTCCAAATCCACATATTAATTGAAGTCTCCAATTCCAATTCCATTGCCTGAATTCCGTGTACCAATTAGAGCCTTAGTATTTTTGCAATATGGTATTCTATTTTGTGGAGTTAGTGTGACTTTTTATTTTTGTAGATTGCAATGGCCAATAAGATCATAATACCTGCAATAGCAGCTGTAAAATTTCCTCCATTAGAGGTGAATTACTCTAACTGCTCCATTCTCAAGCTGCCTATTACTTGCTATGGGAAAGATAGTGCCGATGCAAATGTGCCGAGGGCATCATTGTTATGTCTTTCTTTTCGTGCAAGCTCTGAGGTTAGAAATTCTCTAGATCACTATAGTTTATTTACATTGCTTATTTTTCTATAGCCCCAGTTAAACATTGTTATTCTTCCTTTTCAAGCATTCCACTAGTAAAGCGTAAACATCAGTTTATGCACATTCCATGTACTTTTGTTGTTTCTCTGTTCCCAACATGTTATTGAGAAAATAGTACATATGTATTAGAAGCGCTTGAAGTTCTCATTTACTTTTGGTTTTGTACAATTCCAACATCATTGACAGCCAATGATTCATTCTTGGAGTGTGCCATTTGTTGATGCATTCAGAGATTCAAATAAGGTCCACTTGTATGAGGTATGTTTTGAATTTAAATTGAATTAATTCCTTGAAGTACTACTCCCTCCGTTCCGTAAAAAGGTTCCACGCTTGATTTTTATGGAGATTCAGAAATGTGAAATTGTGTGGTTGAAAGTGGTGTAGAGAAAGAAATTGTTCCCTCTTTCTCTCTCTCTCTCTCTCTCTCACACACAACTTTGTCAAGTTTCACACAAAAATAGATTACAGAATGTTCAACAGTACATCTAATCATGCCTAATTTATGAACAACGTTGAACCGCTCAGATCACACACATGGTGATGTGGATATTGCATGAATATATACCGTGCTGTAATCTGCACTCCAGACAAACCTTTTGTTGTACATTACCATGAAGAAAAGCTTTTTTTTTCAATCCATGTAGAACCATAGCTAGTAATTTATAGGTACCGTGAAAAAATCATTCGATCAGCCAAAGGAGAGAAGGTATCAGTATAAGCTAACCCAGAAATTTTGGATGTACGCTTTCACTACCAAACATGCTTTGAGACCACCAATTTTGCTATCAGGTATAACCTTCACATTATGGATCTGCCAACAGCCAACATAAAACTTACCAGCAGGAAGCGGTTCTGAGGATGTTGATTTGTAATATAGAAAATGGACTGTATATGAAACATGAAATTGGTTTCTAAGTTCTGTGTGACCTGCTAATATTTGTTCTCTGAAGTCTGAACTGAATTGATTATGCTCAAGAATAGCCATATTTATTCTTAATATTTTTATATCTTTGTTATCCAGAATGTATTTATATGCAGATATCCTTTGTAGATTCATGGCTTTTATCACGCAATCCAATGAAAAAGCTGCTTCTTCGTGTGATGAAGAAACCTAAACCTGATCTTCGGAAGGATGATGTATTGCAAAGACAGATTGTATACTCATTTGGTGACCATTATGAGTTCAGAAAAGAACTTAAAATACTGAACCTCTTGACAGGGTAAGAAGCACTTCCTCTCTGCACATTCAACTTTTACGGGTTTTGTCTTTGCTACCCTCTCTACCTGGGAGCCCTTGCGTGGGGTTTAGAGAGTGTGTCCAAGGGCTCCTAGGCTTGCTTATCAGTGAAATGAATACTGGTCCTGAAAAATATAACAGGTACATATATTTAGTGGACAAATATGGTAGAATACGATGGCAGGGTTTTGGTTCAGCAACACCAGAAGAGACGGCATCACTCTTGTCATGTACCTCATTGCTATTGCAAGAGGAATGAATGAATGAATGAATGGATGATGGCCAAGACACTGTTTCCCTATCCATTCCTTTTTTTTTAGGCTTCATCATGCTATAATGACAGGCTTGACAATATGGAAAGGAAGTTAGCAAGTTTCTTGGAAACTGATCTCTAGTCTTTGGATGTTTGTCAAGGATTCCTTAAAATTTGCTGGCATAGATGTTGTGTAATAATGAAATTATTATTGCCTTTACTATTATAAGTTATTAAAAATCTTTGTTATATATTCAATGTGAATCTGGTTTTTCATTATTGTTCTTATATAGGAATTTCAAAATTTCAAAATGAACTGAACTTGAAGGTAAAAATTAAATATTTACTCTCCCAAAATAGGTTCCAATCGTTTTCTTCCATCCCAAAACAAGATTCTTCATTTCCCTTAGGAGTTGTATTCTTCATATTATTTCTCTTCTCTATATAAATTTCAGCTTCATATTTTTTTGTTTCTTAATAATATCAAGTTGAATACGAAAATGTTATACGCGACAGTGGAGTGCTAGATGTTAAGTACATTTGTGCCAGTCAACGGAGTTAAACGAGTCATTATTGACTTTATTTTAGGTTTGTGTATATGAAATATTATCTCAAATAATTTCACATTTAAGTGGTTTTTTTTAAAATAATTCTGCCATTTCATTTTGATGCTTAATAAGTCAATCTTTAGTAGGGTTTGTGAGTCTTGGGTTACTTTAACCGAAGTTGATTACTTGAACCAAATGATTCAAAGTTGAAAATGAAATGATCTAAAAAGTTAGAGTTTGTTGTATAACCAAATACTCCAAATGATCCAATCTGAACCAAAATTGAACTAAACATATCCACACCCGATTTAAATCTAAAATCAATTAGATTCAAGTCAATTAAACTCGAAACTGATAATCTCTAAAATTAATTATATCCGAAACCGATAAAACCCAGAACTGATTTTGTTTTTTTTCATTAGACATATTATAACAATTATGTACATAAGTGCACAACTACATTTGTAATTTCAATTTATCACTTGAGCAAGTTTATTACGGAGTATATATTTAGATACTCTTTTTTTTTTTTTTTTTTTTTTTTTTTTTTNTTTATCCTTCAAAATAGGAAAAGAGCACGAGATGATTGAGAATAAAGGGATTAGGAAATCTAGAGAAGGAGAATGAAGAGTAGGAATCAGCTTATGGGCCAAATGGCCAAACTTAGAAAAGAAATATGGATTCAAAAGTTTAAAACTTAAATTATAGAGCGAAAAAAAATAAAAAGGCGGGAGGATAGTTAAAAAAGAGCACAAATCTCCAAAAACATATCAAAACAATATTTCCATCCATATACGTGAACGAAAACATATTTTTGTACTTTCTTAATTTTTTTCAAAAAATGAGAACTTCTCACATCAATTCCATAAAATAAATTATAGAGAAAATTTGGAGGTTTCCTTAGCAGAGGCAGTTCAACTTCTCTTTTCATACAACAAATTAAAAACTCGAAATTTTTTGAATCTTTACTTTTTTTTGGTTCTTTCTTCATACCATAACAAAGCTCGAAAGAATTCACATTTAAAGGTGGGATCTCCAAAATTATCTATATCTACAGGAATAAAAAAATTTGATATAGATAGTCTTTTATATATGTTTTGCATTTTACATAAATTACATGTTGTACATATAATGTAAACATATCTTCAATTTTAGCTTTTCCAAATGCAGGATTATCTAAAAATGATCCCGGTGATGTATCTTGAGTAGACGATGAACCTTCTGCCTCGACATTAAAATTTAGAATATACTTGTATATATGTAGTTTATGATTCGCCATATCAAGTCAAGGAGTATTTGAGTACATTATTTTTAGTATCATATACATATATTTATTTAATACACAAAGACATTTATCAAATGATTACCTTCATAGAAACTAATAACACTTTTTATTGAAGATAGATTAATTCTCTTCCATCTCTTATGCACTTAAAAGCGTGATGAAGTGAGTGCAGAATTATTTCCAGATTTATGCACTGTATAGATAATTTTTTAGAAAAAATGTACCAAAAATAAACAGTTACCATTTGTCACATCACATAGTACATTATATATCTTTCCATCATATACAAATTATTGTACTAATATTTATTTTATGGAGAAGTACAGGCCATGTCTTATTTTTAAAAAGGCATCACTGGCCATGTATAACTCTTTTTCCTTTAAATATTCGTAATATATATTATCTTTAAGCATGTAAATATTAAACATTTTTCTATCATATAACCATAATGAACTTATTATAATTTTCAAAAAATCTATGTATTTTTCTATAAATAAAGCGTGTATCATTTAAGAATATAGTAATTAATTTTTAACCAAAAATATAACATTTAGTATTTAAGAACATTATTTGATCGTAATGCATTTATAATAATTAATACCACAAATAAGAACATTTTTTACTACCATTTTTAATAATAATCAGTCTTTTTAAATTTTTATCATTAAAGGAGAAAAATTTTAAAAATGGTAATTTCCGGATTTTTATTTCCTTACTTTAAAAATGGTAATTTCAAATAATTATGACAGTTAATTATTATTAATATAATATAATAATTATACTTATAAAATGTAAATTTTATATTACTATAATTTCGGACACTTACTATTTTAACTTCACATTACCATATGTAATGGCCATAGTCTTTGGCCGGGAAAACACAATATTGACTCCATGTCTTTTTAAATAAACTATGGATATGGAGTAAAAAAACTAACTATAAATTTACATAAAAAAATATCCTTATTACATATGATACAAGGAATTTTTCTTTGGTCCTAAGGTCTACACTCATGTTATGCACCTTGGTATATAAACAAAATACTCCTCCAGTCCTAAAACCCTTTCATGTTTTGACTTTTTTAGTCAATCAGTGACACTTTTTGACCATAAATTAAACGCAATCCAAATAAATACTGCCTCCAACCCTGAGTATTTGTCCAATTTTGACTTTTTTCAGTCAATCATTTTCGACCTTTGACTTATAATTAAATAAAATATATATTGTATATTAACTAGATAAAATAATATTTTCAAAATATTTCATATACTAAATCTAATAAAACTATTTTTGTATCAATATCTAATATAATTTTTTAAATAAATTGAGGTCAGAGTTTACCAATTTTGACTGAAAAAAATAAAAAGTGGACAAATACTTAGGGACGGTGGGAGTAAATTATATTAATATTTGATATATCAAAACTATATCTTAAGATTAATCCAATTATACTAAAATTATATTATAATAAAATATATTTTTCTCACAATTTATGGTCAAAATATGTCACTGTTTGACCAAAAAAGTTTAAACAAGAAAGGTTTTTAAAACTGATGAGAGTAGATGAATTAGTTGTTATGAAAAATTAAAAAATTAATAAATGCATCAAGAAAATTGGGCCCTGCATTATGATGAGGTCCATGTGTCTAAGTACATGTCTAGGTGGATTATAGTACTTGTGGACTACTCATGAGAGTAAGACCCGTCCAGGCCCATTAATGTGACTACGCCTCTTCATTGTGCTTCTAAGTTCTAACAACAATTAGGGCCGTGTTTGGAAAACATCTTTTCGGATAGCTTTTGACATTCTTGACTCATTTTGGCTTTTTCCACTAAGCAAATAGCCAAAATCATTCTTTGGCATATGGCTTTTTCACTTGACATTTTGATCCGAAAAGCCAAAATTTGAAATGCCAAGGGGAATAACATTTGTACTTAGCTGTTAGGAAAATTAATTTTTTTAAAAATCATTTTTCTTGAAAAATACTTTATAATATATGTAAAAAAATAAAAATAAACGTTAAAAATATAAAAAATATAAAAAAAATAAAAAATAAAATTTCAAAATTTCAAAAAAATGAAATGAGAAAATAAAAAGTAAAAATCATTAAAAAGTTGTATATATATACATATATATAGACACACACACACACACACATATATACACACACACACACACACACACACACACACACACATATATATATAGGGGCCAGTTCCCGTGAGAATGCACCTTGTGGAGAGAAATGAGAATAAAATCTAGCCGTTGGATCTGATGCATCGTGCGGCTCAGATTGCATCTTGCAAGCCATTAATAATATCTATGTTCATTTAAAATTACAACAAAAAATACCCGCTAAGAATTATACGTTTGGTAATACGCCCTTTTTGTTTTTTTTGCCACCTAAAACCATCGTTGTTGTCGCTCCTAAAGAATGTGTGGTACCCTATGTGATCTCTGAGGCTGTTTGTCCCTAAATGACCTGTGTGCCTTTCTTTGCTGTCTATGATGGATTAGAAATGTGTTCTACCCTATATGTTTCCTGAGGCAGTTTGTCTCTAAGCTTTCATGTCCCTCTCTTTACTGCCTATGATGGATTCTGAATGTGTGGTACCCTATGTGATCTCTGAGGCAGTTTGAGGTCCATTACTTTACTGCATAAGATGGCTTTTGAATGTGTGGTGTTATATCTAAGGCATTGTGTTCTCTCTTTACTGCCTATGATGAAATCAGAATGCCTGGTACCCTATGTGATCTCTGAGGCATTTTGTCCCATTGGTTTGAGGTCCCTTTCTAATGCAGTCTGTCCCTAACCAGTTCTGTGAATATACTGATGGTTTTATGCAAAAAAAAGACTTTTTATAGTCATATAATGATGGTTTTACATATCACATATTGTACTACATCATCACAAGCTTCTTACATGTGGTGTACACTTGCACCAAAAAACAAAAAAATATTGTGCATTTGCAAACCACATGTATTACCAAAACAAATCTACACAAAAAACTACTCCCCTATTCTCTTTAGTTGTTCAATTCTGAAATCTGGAGCACCTCTTCATACACTTCAGTACTGACTCCCAAGTTTTGTGGAAGTATTCCTTCCCTGGACAGCCTTTCCTTCCCCATGTGAGGTATTTTGAAATTATTTCCTCCTTTATGCCTCAACACCTCACCCATGACTCCTTCTTAGGTTAAGAACACATTGTTTAAAACCTGTGGTGTGAGTTGTTCAAAAGCCAAGGTGACAGCAGTTATGAGATCCCCCAATGACCTGTGTGCACTCTTGTTTTGTATAGCATCTATTTCCCTAAAGAAGCCAAGGTCAAGAACATTTAAATCTGGGGTATTGGGGGGTTGAAATTGCAACCTAATATCCCAATCACTCTCTTGTGCAACAGCCACAAAAACTGGGTCATTAATATCAACATGTGGTTTGGCATTATCTTGTTGTATGACAACATACTTAGAACGCTGTGGCCATTTTTCCCTTATTGCTGGCAGTAGTTGCTGTACCAGCATTTCTCTCATGACATCTCTTGCTATTTTTGGAATGGGCTTTGTTTCCATTGTACCAGGCCTATTTTTGCTTGTTCTTTTTGCAGCTTCTTGAAATGTGAAGGGGAATATGCCTATTTTCCCATCCCACAGTACCTGACCATCATCCCCAAACCTAGGATGACCTACAGCAGCCAAAAACATAATTTTGGGAATATGTGTTTTGGACTGTATGGTTCGGTAGGGGTCTGCCTCATTAGGTAAGGTGTAGAAGGTCTTTTTAGGCTTTCTCAACTCAAACCACTTCTCATCAATATGTATATAATCATAACAATGATGAAATGTTGGGTTATTTGGTAGGGATGTAGGAGAAAGTAATGACAAACAATACCTCACCCTTTTTAACTTACCTTCATCACATAGATGAGGTTTAATAGCATTGGAGTGTCTTCTGATTTTTTTCTTCACCAACCTATATGCTGTACTAGTTGACACATTAAGGCAGTGGCTTAGGGCACGTAGCGTTTTCCGCTGGTGAAATGGAATGTCAATCAGCATTGAAATGTCCAAATTGAAACCTTTTTGCCCCGAGTTACCTTCCCACCTGCAATCCACATTCACTGCCTCGCCCCTAGCCATTTGAGATTTTGCAGCTTTCCATAGCTCTCTGACCCAAAGAGGAGATATGTTGAATTCATTAGCCACTGTTTTCAGTGACCCGTGCTGAAGTTTGCCGTTTTTGAAATTTTGTAGTATTGCCTCTATTATTCGCTGCCTTCTTTCGTTTCTTGCTTGCACACCGGAAATACATGCGATGTTGTTTATTTCAGGAGTGTTGAAAGCCTCGAAAGGTACTTCCAACAGTGGAGGCAGGGAGACATCTGCTACATCGGCTGAGTCGGCGTTGGCATCTCCAAAACGAGAGGAAGTTGGAAGAGGTGACGGTTCCATCAATGCTATTTGAAGCCAGACAGATTACATGGAGCATTTATTTTCATTCAAGACATGTTTAGGGAGAGATGAATGCATTTAATGCTTTGGTGTATTTATATTGAGAAGTGGTAGTATATATTAGGTTGAAATATTTGGAGGGCTTTTTAAATTTTTTCCCAAACAAAAAATTTGTAATCTTTCCCTCTTTTGTTGTGGTTGCCGCGTGAAGTGCAAAGGGTTTTGGTGGAGTCTACTATTCATGAGAAGTTACTCATTATTAGCCTCATTATTTTATTCTCACATTTGCCCACTTTTGTTATGTACCCCACGTTAGTAAGAGGGTAATATGAGAAGGTCTTTGCCAAAATATGGGTTCCTTATTTTGGCTAAAAGTCAAAAGGGGAATCCTTTTCTGAAACGGAGGGAGTACACGTTTGGTAATACGCCCTTATTTGACCGATATAGATATATTCTACCCTTCTTTTTCAAAATTGTTACGTTTAATAAACGCCGCATAACAAGAACACGTGGGCTCGAACACCTTCCTCGTACACAACTTTGATGTTTCTTATTGTTTACTTATTTCGTTTGAGAGTGAAGATTTATTTTGATTTTTGAGCATTAATATGATATTTTAGGTATTAATATTTATATTTAATTTGTACATTAATTTATAAGCTTTGGTAATAAACCAAAGGGATTTTCTCCCATACCTCTCTATTTGAGAGGGCATGGATGCCCTTCCACTATTATCTTGACATGTGGATTATTTTATGCCTAAATTTATGAGTATTGATAATATAAATTATATTTTACAAAATCCTTCATCCTGATCGCATTTAATTTTTTTCCTTAAGCTTCGTTATGTTGTTTTTTTGTTAAAAGTGTAAAAATTTTGAATTTTTACTCCCTAACCTTTTTTTTTGAATTTTGGCTTTATTTTTTATTTAAACACGCAAATCTAAACTTAAACTATATTTTTAGATTTGAATTTTAATTAAAGTCTTGAATCTAGAGTCAATAGTGAAATTGAATTAAATACAATTTTATTATCAAATAATCCATATATAAATATTTATATTAGCATATGAATAATATAATATTTCATCATTTGTCTTAAATTTAATTTACTTATTTACTATCCAAGATGTCAAATTAATTTTCATTTTTTTTTTTTATCATTATTATCACACATTTGATTAAAAGTTATACTCCCTTCTTTCTAAAAAATATTTTTTCTTTCATTTTTTTCACTTCCAACAAAATACTTCCACTTTCTATTAAAAAATTACTTTTACCCTTACTTTTTCATACCCTACCTATCACATCATATTTTTTCTCTAATAATCTATCCATCACATCTTACTTTTACCCATCATATCAGGGGCAAAATTGGAAGTCAACTACTCCCTCCGTTCTATAAAAGTGTTCCTATATTGACTTTGTGTAAAAATAAGGAAGTGTTAAATTGTAGTTGACTTCCAATTTTGCCCTTGATGTGATGGGTAAAAGTAAGATGTGATGGATTGAGTATTAGAGAAAAATAATGATGTGATAGGTAGGGTATGAAAAAATAAGGGTAAAAGTGATTTTTTAATAGAAAGTGGAAGTGTTTTGTTGGAAGTAAAAAAAATGAAAGAGTAAGAGTTTTTGAGAACGGAGGGAGTATAATTTAACATTTCCCTATTTTTGCTCCAAGTCAAAATAGGAAGTCTTTTTGGAAACGGATGGAGTAGTTTTAACAAAAATTGGTTTATTACTCATATAGTATTATCAAACTTTTTATATAAGTTATTCATATACCTCGTATAAGATAAATATTTAATTTTACACGATTTTTTTAAATAAATAGAATTATAATTTATTTAAGTCAATTATCCTAAACCCAAATTGGTTGAGTAAAAAGGTTGTATCGTTAGTGTTGAAAAATAAGCTCAAAAAACATTTCATAAACCAATATAAATAAACAAGAGCGGAAGAAAATTACAAAAAGATATAAAAAATTTTCAAAATTACATTATCCAGTTGATACTTGAGGAATGAAATAAAAACAGAAATGTAAAAAAACGTATAGAAGTAAAACACTGCTTTAGAAACTAATGGAATGAAAAATATAAGGCAAAATTCACAAGAATACTCCCAGAAATTTCAAGTTTTACATAAATACTCCCAAATTTGTTAATTTACATAGTTACTCCCACATTTGTCTATTATTTACGTCGTTACTCCGTGATTGCTTCATCATCAGTGTTCATCGGGTGCATCTTTTTAAACGGGGTTCTTAATCTTTTTTTATTGAATTCAAATTAAATTAATATGAACAGACTTGATATTAAACATTAAAAAGATTTAGGAAGGTTGAAATCTGAATATTTTTTAAAAAGTGATGGAAATAAGGGCAATGATTAAGCTTACTAAAACGTGAGAAAGTCGATGGAGAGAATAAATTGAGGTGAATTTGGTATATTAGAGTGAAAAAAATACATGTCTGCATTTTAACTGCTCACTTAGCGCAAAAAAACGCATCCAAGTAACACTTATGATCACTACCAAATTTGGGAGCAATGATGTAAAGACGAGAGATGTATACACGACCCGTAGTGAGGTCAAAACAGCAATATCCTTTTGATGAGGAATCGTATCCAAGGAAGACACAGGGTTTGGACCGTGGTTGGAATTTATTTGTGATTTCATGACGGAGACACGGATAAGCTAAACACCCAAACACCCAGAGAAGATTATAGTCTGGAGCTTTTTGAAACAGAGACTCATAAGGGGATTTGTGATTAAGAGACCTTTTTGGCATGCGGTTGATCAGGAAATTTGTAGTAGCCAACGCCTCAACCCAAAATTTTGCTGGAAGATTGGCTGTGCAAAGAAGTGTGACAAGAGTTTCAACCAAGTGACGGTGCTTTCTTTCAGCAACACCATTTTGTTCAGGGGTGTAAGGACAAGATTTTTGATGGAGAATCCCCAAATTTTGTAAAAACAACCCAAACTTTTTATTGACATATTCCTTCCCATTATCTGTTCGAAAGAGCTTAAGGGTTGCATTGAACTGAGTTTGAA